AAACTTTACATCCAGTATTTTTCGTAGAGTGACCGTGTGACGTATGAAAAATCAATTTTCCTCCACGCACTCACTAAAAGCACCGATCACACAACTCACCCTCCGTGGGTCGCCGTCTCACCATAATGAGCATTGTGTATTTGTGTACTTGTGCCGTGTTTAATTGTTTTGGCATAAATTTTTTAATGTATACCGACACATATATAAATATTAAATATAAACTAATAACAAAACAAATTATAGATTCCGCCTGTAAACTGCGAGACATATCTATTAAGCCTAATTAATCAGTCATTAGTAAATGTTTACTGTAGCACCATATAGTCAAATCATGGCATAGTTAGGCTGAAAAGAATCGTCTCGCAATTTACATGCAAATAGTGCAATTGATTTTTTTATCCACATTTGATGCTCCATGCATGTGTCCAAACATTTGATGTGACAGAAAAGTTGGAAGTTTAAAGGGAACTAAACATAGCCTTGGTCGCTCAACACCCGTCATGTTTTTCCTGCCGGCTGCTACGTTAAGTTCTTTCAAGTATTTGATGACTTCCTGAATTCCAACTATAGCATAGCCCTCATACAATAACTGGACGAGGGTCCCCATACGTTACAGGTGAACCGTAAATGCTTCTGCCTGCAAAAATTGCTCCTTCCAATGGTTTCACAGGCGATCCCTTAATAAGCCCGCATACGACAATAGGTGAATTATCGCAGGCGAGTCTCTTAAGGAGCAATATAGATTGATCGATATCCAGTTCAATAAAATTACAGTTGCATACCAAATCCAGCTTCTACTTTTAAAATCTATCTCTGTAAAAAAAAAATATGCTAGCAGGAGGCGAGCCACGGTGGGATCATGGCCTCGTGAGGAATCGCGTCGCTCCTGCACGGTTCGTGTAACTTTGTGCGCATCAACTTGGCCTCGCGAATCCATGGCTCATGGCTCCGTGTTGGGTGAACCTATGGCTTCGCCTCGCGATCCACCCACCACCCTCGATTGAGCGGCAACGGGTTGAACGGGGCACCGACAAAGAGAAACACTGGCAACGTTGCTACAACGGCGCAACAAACAAGACGCCGATGAGCTCATCCTCTCATCTACAAGATCGACGACTACCATGGCCGCCTTCTCGACTGCCTCTGGTGCTTCTCTGCCCGGATCGAAGAGCCGCACCACTTAGACTGCTTGTTAGCCTTGAAACTCAATGGCAGAGGAGGGGGCTCATCAACCGAGCTACGAGGAAGGAGGAGAAGAGGGGGGATGGTGGCGGAGGCCTCCTCGAATGAGATGTCGTCGTGACCTCGTCGATCACCAGTGCTACCTCATCGACCGATTTTCGGGGAAGAAAAAGAAGAAGGGGACGGCGGTGGTGACCTCCTAGAACGAGTTGCTAACGCTACTCGACCAGTCTTCCATAGGATCTGATGCGGGTCTTGTTGGATCTAAAGAAGCAATAGGCTTTGCTAGATCTGAAGCGAGGAGGCAGGAGCCTCCTCAACCACTGTCATGACCTCTCGACCATCAGTGCTGCCTTGTCGACCGAGCTACAAGGAAGGAGGGGAAGAGGGGGATGGCGGTGGCGCCTCCTCAAACAAGCTACCACCACTGCTTGACCGGTCCACCGCGACATCTAAGGTGGGGGGTCATCGGACCTGAAGCGAGGAAGCGAGAGCCTCCTCGACCAGTCCACGGCGGCCATGGCATGGGTTGAGATGGTGTCGTGTGGGAGAATGAGAGATGACGGTGGCGAGAGACCTGGTCGCCGTCGAGTGGAGCTCGATGTGGAGATAGGGGAGAGAGCATGGGTAGCTCTCCATCAGCATCAGCTCATGAAGTAGGAGGCATAGGGATGGGTGAGGGTCAGTGGGGAGAAGAGATTTTATATTACTTTCCGAATTTTTGGGTGTTTAGTGTTAAATTTTGGACCTCTTTATAGATTAAAAAAAATGTGAGGACTAAATAAAAAATACTAGGGGCTGAAATAAAAATTTAAGTCTACATCTCAAACAACTTGTATCGCCGGAAATTAGCTTTTCAGTGATGTTGTTTCATCCTTGATGGTACTTAAGGGTGTGATCTGTATTGAACGTGCCCTAATTAACGAGTCTCTCTCTATCTCCATCCAGAATAAAAGCGTGATGGGAGATCTTTGTCTTGAACCAAAATTCTCGCAAGAAAGTTGGAAGCTTTACAGTGATGATTGCTTCCACACACACTCATAACTGGTTTTCAAGCTGGGTAATGAAAGTTGCGTTGTAAAAAGAAATCATTTGGAATTGTCAGCAGTTCTTTATTATTATTAAAAAAAAGTATGAATTACCCCTAACTCAAAAACCAAACGTCGCTCACTCTAAACTTTTATTATTATTCTCGTTTCACCCTCTCGGGAGGAATCAGGATGGCGTGCAATCTGCCATTGCCATGTATACACATCTTGGTTTCATTGCTCACGCTAAGCAAGACGTCGCTGCTGGACCCCAAGAATTATCGGACAGGTCAATTGCCCATCAATCATGTCCTTGATGGCCTGTTAATTGACATGGAAAACGCCATATGGAAATATACGTGTTCGGTCAATTCAATAAGAGCAAGACCATTTCTTCATCTTCATGCATTCCACTCCTTACGGAAAAATCAGTCCTTACAATTTGGAACTCTGCCTGCTCTGGCCGGCACTCGAATTGGAGGCAGCCAGAATTTAACACAGGACTTTTGTCCGTGAAGGTATGCACTTGTTAGTTGTTGCTGTCAAATGACATGATAAGCAAAGAATTGTTTGCGTTGCCTTGTGGTTGGAATTGGGGCCAGCAGAAGTGAGGACGAAGATAAACAAACAATCACGGCGATTTAAAAACGAGTCGTACACTTGAATTGGAGCAATACTTTCATACCAACCCTCTTTGATGATCAGAAAGCATAACTTTTCGTATAAAAGGAGCAGAGCTAGCATGCATGATTTGTTCAGATTTTTTGCTCCTTGTACAATACTACTCCACATAATATAGGTTTATTCCAAGCCAATTTACAGTGAAACAGAACATGGTAAAATCAATTTTAGGTGTGTTCAGTTTGATGAAAAAATAAACCCTACCAAATTCTGCTAACACTAAAATTTAACAAGGTTTAGTAAATATAAAAAATGATAAGGTAGAGATACGTGCGCATTGTTTGGTTTAGCACGGGCGACGGTTGAAAGGCGGGGTATGGTGTGGTAGGGCATTTGAGACATGTTTAGATTGCTACTTCATTAAAATTTGACAATATTAAAACTTGGTAATGATAAAAATGGTAACAAAGTTAGCAAGCCCTTCATTAAAAAAAAAGGTGAATAGCCAATATGCTCGTGAATGTTTTGTTCCGGACTTAGTTTAGTCCTTTGACGTTTCAATTTACCCCCAATAAACCCTTAAAATATATCATTTGACTCGACATAATCTTTGGACCTACCGAAAACACTACGTGTGTGTGCCATGTCATTCTCACATGCAAGGATAGCAATCAAATGACCATTTATCCTTATATGTACCATATTAAAGAAAAAAGAATAAAAACAAAAAAGAACTCCCATTTACTCATGATAGAAACAATATTGAGCCAACATATTATTTGTTTATTTTATATAGATAAGGGGGGTAAGAGCAAAATTTGTGTAATTTGCTGATAGACATTGTAAAAACGTGTCACAGCTGAAATACGCTCTAAAACCCTAGGAATTTGCTTGAGGACACTTTTGATTCAATTGGAGAGAAAAATTCTTCAAAAAAAAAATGAGAATGCCCCTAGGGTCAAAATTTTTTGAGCTGAGGCTGAAGTGAAGATAGAATAGATAGAATATGCTAGTGATTTACTTGGGGTGATGATAAATTTAGAGTTGCGTAGTTTCTAAATTTTTACTCTAACAGTATGTTTGAAGCTTGTGGTACTAGGAACATTGTCGTCTTGCTTAAAATTTTCTATCTTCAATTGAGTAAAAAGTGTCCTCTAACAAATTATTGGTTTTTAAATGTTCTTATCCGTGCCACATTTTTCAATGATTATCAATAAATTACATAAATTTTGAATATCTTGAAGCAAAATTTGTCTTATTCAATTGTTGCTCTTATGTGTGCGGATAACGTGGCACATCCACAGGGTGTTTTTTGTGGATCAATCAAGAATAAGTTGAGTGAAATGATAGATCTCCAACCAAATCTACAGCGAAACTTCAGGGACATTATTTGCTACTCATCGGGAAAAGAAAACTTAGCATGTGTTCCTGGGGCTTCTCTCCTGTCCGTGGGTATAGGGAGGTATATCACATATCGAGTAGTTGGATGCACTTTTCAAGTCATCATGACTAAAATGCATCATGAAAGGTGAGAAAGCAACTCAAGCTAAAAAAAAAAACGCAACCACCACAAGCAGGCAGATAATGTTGCATTCCCGTTTGTTTTCATATGTTTTCCGATCCTTTTGCACATTCATTCGTACAAAAATTTTCTTGAAGTGATATTGCAGCAGGAGAGCTGCTTGCTGTTTGTTCAACAACAGAAGCAGACAAGTCTAAGAAACAGCTGCTTCAGTTGGGCCGTAGTGGGTTTCCACGCATGCGCGAGTCATTTTAGTTGGGCCGGGACGGGATTGTCACGCATGTGAGGCCTGTTCTAGTTGGGCCGTAACGAGAGGGCCATAAACTACTTGGACTGCGTTTCAAGGAGAAGTCAACAAGATGACAAGAGCGTGCCACTTCTCTCCCAAGTCCTGGTCTCATGGAGGAAGAACAAATGAACAATGCTCCGAGTAGCCATTTTGAGATCATCAGGACGGGAATGATGGTTCTTAAATGTTCCATCGTTACACTAATTATGATAATTATGAATTATACACGTGCTATTATAGTCAGAAACAATTAATTGTGAGGCATTTAGAACATTTCGTCCCTACAAGAACTCTTTGCGTTTTTTTTTATTATTTTAGAGATGAAACAAGATATCACAAAAAAAAAAGAACTAATATGTAGAGAGACTGCATTGTAACTTGTAAGCACATCAAGTAAAATATACAACAGAATTAGTCCACCATTGCCTTCCAATAGAAGAGTAGATAAATCGGTCTTACATACCATGGTTACTCTGGTTTATTCACTCCGGGTGGCAGTGGTATCATAGACTCAAAAATGATACCCACCTCTAACTCAAATACCGATACAAAACCAGTATGCGATGAATATACTTTGCTCCAGACACAAGGTACAAATGCATTCAGCATTCGTGGCCAAAAAAATCAAAACAAAAAAAACTGTTAGCCATTAATCTTGGGATTCACGTCTTGATTTAGCTCTGTTTTCAAGATCGCTGAACCGCTGGCTTAGAACAGAACTTGATCGATCTGATTCTGCAATAGAAGAACCTGCTGCAGGTACTGACTTGGATGCACCAAAAAGGTTGAAGGTCGGCTGTTGAGCCGGAGCAAACTGAGTTTCGATGGGAGGAAGATCTAAGAAACTCCTCACAGCTGGCTTCCGAAGAACTGAACCAAATAAAAAAAAATATTTGCACGTTAGGACCACAAAAAAAATGGAGGTTGCCAGAGGTCTGAAGCATGATAAATGACTTACCAAAACCATACCCAAGAGAGAACAAGTTCGATGTGACCCAGTAAAAGAAAATTGCCTGCAGAAGAAACGAGAAGCTGAATACCATCGATTTCTTTGTGTTAATATTAACACCATGCATCAATTTGTCACAAAAGACGGCACTTATGAAAGATCTAAATAGGCAGACCAAAAAAAGCCCCTTAGCAAAAGCAACTATAAGGACAAGTGCGGAACCCTGACTGTCCTTAGCAATACAAGCTATGCAGTACTTGCTAAACAGTAAAACCTAGCTGCTCAGTTTTCATTCTACTGCCTATCTAGTGTAGTTTTATAGTGACTGTATTCCTCACTCGTACTAAGATATAAACTAAAATTTTGATATCTCTGTTGATCGAACCTCACTTCGTCAAACTTTTGCCCGACTGATGGTGAAATCATCTTGGTTAGTTGGTTCTTGGGGTGTTTTAAGTTAAAGTTCAAGCTTTTCTCTTGAGACATGCAATGTAGTTTTGAGTATCTCCAAACTCCTAGTTTTCTCGTAAATTTTCCCACAGTATATGAATTATGTAAACTTAGATTCTGAGTACTTGATAGTTCATACCTTGGGAAAGCTCATCGTAAATGGAATAGTCAAAACAGCCATTACTCTAGAGAAATTCTTCATCGTCTTCAACATAGGATTTCCTTCCATGCCATCTTGCATATTTAACTGAAAACCGCAACATAGTTTCGTAACTAACTATACAATAACATAAGATGCATGAATTGTGTTTGCCAAAATGGTGACCTACATCATACCTCTACCGTAACCAAGAAAGTAAGCGATGTCAACATTGGGAGAATTAAAAGCTCATCAGGAGTTGTCAAATCAGTAAACCAATATATCCCGCCTCCTTTGAAAGAAGGAACTTTCTCAACCATGTTTGATATCTGAAATTGGAACAGAGTACAGAACAAATGCTAGAAGTTAAACATCAGGTAAATGTTATTGCAAGGTGGAACACAGTGTGGCATTACTAGTTTAGAAGTAATAAGGAAGTGGTGCAAACTTACGGCAAAGAAAAAGCTCATGAATATAGGTGCTTGGATGAATAGACCCTTCAATGGTGTCAGTGGAGTTACGCCATGCCTGAAGACAGCCATGAATTTTTTTAAAAAAAGATATTTCACGACTACTAAGTGAATACAGAAGTGGTTAGGTTATATTGCAGTGGCAAACTCAAGTTCAGCGAGACGTGTAAATGTTAAAAAAGTATGTGCTAAGAGGCAAAAACAAGAAAAGAAGAGGCACTTCCAGATCATAAGTGAACAAAAATGAACAAGTGAACATATACCTTAGAAATAGCTCGCCCAATTTCCTTTTCCCCTCTAGCATTGACTGAGGATCAGTTGACTGAAAAAGTAAACGGGATTGATTATATCATTAGTTAATAGTTATTTAAGTAGTCTTTTGAAAAGTTTAGAATTAAGGCTTCTGCAAAAAAGCTATCGATATGGGATCAGTGTTGTCCAATACACAAATATGTGTTTTCTTTCCTTTCATTAAAGGCATGCTTGGTTACCCTGCTGGCTGCTAGATAAAGCAACTGGCCAAATAGCATATGCTCACCTACCAACAGCAAGTATTTGGTAAAGCTCAAAAAAACTTGCGCTGCCAAGCAAAATCATTGCCCACATGACCAAGGCGACTCTCCAGTGGAGAGCAAAACATTTAAAAGCTCGTCACTTCTGTGGCGGTTTGATCCTCTACTACATGGTTTCAAATAGATAATGCGGCATTTTAGGACATTACTACACTTCCTATGAAAAATGCACTTTTAAAGAAATGGACCAAAAACCTAGCCTACTAACCATGCTTCCTTCATCTGTTACTCGTGTGCTGGATTTTTCATTACCAGCAATGCGAGTTGAAGATATCTAAACACGGATTATTAGTGTACTTAGTATTGGAAACTCAGCTTAGACAAACTTGACTATAGTGGAAGAGTGTTCATGGCCCTGATTATGTCTAGCTAGATGATAGAAGATAACTAACGTAGCTACTTGCTACAAAAGCATTTGACCTTTCTTTGCCTTCAAAACCACACAGTACTATGGTTTACCACATTAGAGATACAAATAGCATGTTCAAGGTATAACATACAAAATGAATATTTAACTGAATAGAAATAAAGGCTTACAGTTCGCATCTCCAAATTAATGGCTTCAATTTCTGGCCGCATTGCCTGCATGATATAAGAATTCCAACTGAGGAAATACAACTAATGATCTTGCAATAAAAACCCAACAAGACTTATAGACACATTATAAGTGATTAAGTTAATAAGACAAAGCGTCCAGCCAAAGCAAGTAACTAACTAAGTTCGTACATCGTTGTAGGATCATAAAACAGGATCTGTGCTCTGGAAATTGTGCAGAATTGAGAACCCAACGTGTTCAACAGCCACTCTCAAGTTTTCAAACTTATCGACTTTAACAAATTTGCATCTCTGATGTAATACCATGGCAGCAAACCAAACATGCATATAATAAATTATTTGACTGTTGATAGAATCTACTGGTAGCTAAAATGCACACTGGTGAGTCAGTCTTTACATTTAGCTTCACCGTAGCCTTCATCTGGTTCAGCAGCAGTGGGACAGTTAGCGTCCGGATCAACAGTGACGTGAGCGCAATACAAGCCCACCTACACAATTATCAATGCATCAAACAAAATTCAGTTCACACAGAGGTTATCTCGATCAAATTTTTTGAAGCTTAGTTAGACAGCCACGACGAGGTTACCAGTTCAGCCCCGTCAAGGAATGGACGCCGTCGATGAGGTGCTGCAGGGCGGCGACCGGTGCAAACGAGTCGGCGGCCGCCGCGGCCACCTCCCCGGGGAACGGCGCCGGGGCGGAGACGGGTACAGACGCCGCGGCGTCCGCGAGGACGTCCGCCGGGACGGAGACCGAAGATGCGGCGTCAGAGAGGACCTCCGCGGAGGCATCGAGCTCGTCGTTGGAGCGGGGCGAGGTGGAGAGGCTGCGGCGGGACGCGTGGAGGAGGCCGAAGGGGAGGGGGAGGCCGAGCGCCTGAGATCTCGACGGCGAGCGAAGCGCGGAGGGGAGAGGCGGAGGTTGGGCGGGGGGCGAGGGGTTCTCGGAGTGGTCATCGTGGTGGGAGGGGAGGAGGTGGGAGACGGAGGGGTGGAGACGGCGGGAGAGGTGGCGGGAGAGGCCGGAAGCGAGGCTCCTCCGCGCGGAGAAAGCCATGGCGGCGGCGGCGGCGGTGGCAGGCGGCGAAATCGCGGGGAGATCTCTCGAGAGGGAGAAGAGAGGCTTAACACCAAGGCGAATATTCCTCCCAGTATGCTGCAACTGACACCTGGGTCCTACTCCTACGCTCTAGTGTTGTGGGAAGGAATAAGTTCAACGGAGGTCCCTCAACTTAACAGCGAGATTTTTTCGAGATTCCTTAACCATAAAACCAGAAATCTTCAACCCTAAACTATAAAAAACCGTCTAATTTGGGTCCTAAGGCAGTATGAATGGGCCGAGAGCCCTAGAATAGATGCCCATCATGAAAATATCTTCTTTCTCAAACATGGGCCGTTCGGCCCGTCAGTCGCGTTCCCATTTCTGCTCTGGAGAAATTGTACTACACTTTTTACTTCCAAGTTCTACTAGTACTAACATAAGATTAAAAAATAAGTTCTACTACTAACATAGACGATGAGCTGATGATTCCTGCACAACTATTGGGTTTTAGCGACAAAAGACATCTCTCTCTTTTTGCGACAAGCAAGCTATTCTCTTCTGTATATTCAGATTAACGTGAGAACTTGAATTACTAGTAGCACCGTAAAATACTACTTCATCCACTCTAAAATGTAAACATTTTTAATGTGGGCATAGGTATTAAAAAATAGATGTAAATGATTGGAGAAAGATTGTGATTGGTTGAGGAGATGAAGAAATTAAATGGATAATTATTGTGATTTGTTGATAGGGGTGATAGTTAGATAAATAACTTTATTTTGAAACAATATATTATATTATAGATAGCTACATTTTGATACAGATGTTGTACATGATCAATATATAAAATTCTCTTGCACCGAGCATTTTCTCCATGTTTTATCTGCATTTTTGCCTTCAACTGAGAGTTTGAAGGTTCTTTTTTCAAGGAGATCACTGGGATTAATGGGCTTAAGCTGTGCCGTCATATCGAGTGTCCGCTGGCCCACTGGGCCCGTGCGGTCTCTTCTGGCCTTTCTCAAGACCACACAGTACACACTGCTCCGTCACTGCAGCCGGCAGCTCAGCTATGTACGTTCGCCAATTCTTTCTGTCCCTTCTCTCGCTCACTCAAACTTGTCTCTCGTGCCAGCTCGACAGGCAGATTCTCCTACTGAAAGACTTTCCGAACTGCCTCCTGCATTGTTAGGCCTGATTTTAGTTCCCAACTTTTTTTTTTCAAATTTTTAAGTTTTTCATCACATCAGAATTTTTTTACACACATAAACTTTTAATTTTTTCGTCATATTATTTTAATTTTAATCAAACTTTTAATTTTAAGGTGAACTAAATACACCTTTACTTACTCCACTAGTCTACTGGAATCCCGCTCTACGCTTCTACTGTACAGTCTTAGAGAGGTTCTGTCGTATGCAATCTTATAACCAAAACTCCCACAAAAAATCTCGTTTTTTTTTTCACAGCTCCATCGTTTCGTTGTTTGGAGGAAAAAGCGAAACTGCATATTTGTAAAGAAAAAATAATGTGTGAATAAAACTTTTATATACGTGTTCTTAACGATCTAAATGTAAAGGCTAAAAAATAAACTACAATAAAAAAACTCTAAATTTAAGATTGAAAATTTAAATTTTGGTTGATAAGGATAAGTATAAGCATAAGAGAAAAGGATGTGACCTTCAGCTTCTGAGAATGTCATTATAAAATCTATAAAATGAACTAGAAATTAATAATTATGTTTTTCAACTTTTCTAGATTCTTATAAACTTACCGCCAACCAACTTTTCTAAAGAATCTTAAGCTTTCGAAAAATAACTATGAAATATTGATTGCCATAGCGCCATGCACTCTTCTCCTAGGATTGTAGTACAAAAAAGTACCTTCTTTTCTGTTGCACAATCACTCTATACATACTTGTGCAATAAAAACAGAAATAAGAAAACCAGTGTCTTGCTCTGCCTTTCTTTCCTCGTGTACTTCTCTACAGGAGAACTTGTGATACTGTGCAGAGAACTAGTATACTGTATTGCCATGCCTGTCTGATACACTAACAGTGACTTGTTGACCTCTATCATTGTTCCCTGGATAGTAATTCTAATGTACAGCAAAATCTTTGATTAATTAATTCAAAGAATTTACATGTCGGCTTTGGATAATGAGCCTGTAATAGTCAAACCAGCCGAACTTGCACAGTAGAAGTAATTGTGATGAGCTGCGTGCGAGTCAGACAGAAGGTTGGACTTGTGAAGGTATACTTCACGGAATATTATGTTTTTCAGACAGGAGTTAATTAATCAGCATGTGATAAACAATGATCTCGCATCTTTCCCCACACGTAGAAGAACCACGGACAACGAAGCATAGGGTGCCCTCCTAATCCTGCATTGATCTGAGTTCAAACGGATCGATTAAGAAATGCTCTGCAATTTGACACTTCCTCAACGAGCTCAGTTTGTATTTTAACTCTAGCTAAGTACTAGCTCGAGTATAGTCTCCAAGTAGGCCAAGAAACCAATCCGTTTATACATGTTGACTAAATGGCAGATTTGCTGGTAAAGTGATACGCAAATCCCTGCAGCTTTGTCATGAAATGGCTATATATAGCCCTTCGAGAGCTATTACTGACCACTGTCTTCTGAATAAACTTACTTTATACAGAACGTACGCGTAGTATAGGTTGTTGCAGTTGGGCATAATATAGAGACAAATTCGCTGTTTCGTCAATTAGTACGACTTGTTAATTATTTGTTAAGATATACTACTACTGTAGATTAGTTTAAATAATCAAATGCAAATCTCAGGTTCTTCCTTGGCTTCACATGGTGCAGATGCGACGAAAAGTTAATCAGCTAACATCAGAATAAGTGCAGAAGGGACGATAGATGATTCGTTGATTCTTTAATCTTACAGGTAGTACTGATGTGAAAGATTTTTAAGTTAGACGTATCAAGCCACTAATAAGAAATAAACAATTGGACGAGCCACATGATGGTTAAAGCAAACTTGCAGCTCCATGATAAGGGATTTGGTGTGGTGAATAGTTGAATATATATAGCACTTACACTGCTGTACTAAACAACTACTACCTCCATTCCAAAATATAACAACTTTGGCTATAAATCTAGACACACAGTTATTTAAAATTATAGCTAAAAATACTTATATTTTGAAACTAATGGAATATACAAATCAAGACTAGAATAAGCCAATATCTTGTAATCATAACAGGTCGTTGACCCGCCCTAATTTAGTGTCAGGATGACAACTAACATGTGTGAATGATTTTAGTACAGCCAGAACTCGCAGGTTCCATTAACTTAAGTTGATTCTTTTAGTTTGGCACAACCAAACATGTGTACGTTTTGTTTTTGGTCCAAGTATACAAAACAAGATTAGATATACCGGACGAACTTATATGTTAACTATTAGCAGGCAGAGGCGAGTGCCAATATGTCCATGATAATATGATACTGTGTGCATGAATTGTGATAAACAACTAACAACTGATCAAGTAATTAAACAAATCGTACCGAAGGTATCATCCGAACAAACAGCAATCAAGAAACATTATCAACCATGCATGGTACTTAACGTACACTTTCGACATATACTACGATGGATAAAATTGTTGCGATCTCAATTGACATCTGGACAACAAGACAAGGAAATTTAATGGAACTAATAGAGATAACTGAAAACTCTGAGCAGACAGGTTCCCTGATTCTCTCATCATGTTTACGTAGCTTTTCTAGTCCAGTGGGCGCAGGATAAGAAGATGGAATTTCAAATAATGCTATGATATAGCAGTGAATTATTGGAAGATACGTACTCCCTCTTTCCTCTAATATAAGGTATTTTAATATTTTAGTTGTACTGTTTGACCATTCATCTTATTTAAAAAATTTAGAATTATTATTTATTTTATGTGTGACTTACTTTATTATCTAAAGTATTTGAAGCATAACTTTTTGTTTTTTATATTTGCACAATTTTTTTAAATAAGACGAGCGGTCAAACAGTGAAAAGTAAAATATCAAAATTCCTTATATTATAGGAATGAGCGAGTACTATTCAGTATCGGCGAATTATTTCTTTTCTTTTCTACGTCAGGTTTGCTGAGGTCAGACAGAAAAAAATTGCACCATACATGCCTCCAAAGTCCAAACCTCCACTATCTCGCCATTCCAAAAACCATAACAATGCTTGATTGGCCCAGTTCAAGGCAAGTTAGTCTAGCATTCATGATCTATTTTTATTATCTGAATGACTTTATTTGCTTTAATTTGATCAATAATCAGCTTCTTCCGTAAGATTCTAAAAGCAACTAAAAGAGACCATTTTCTTCCTCCGAGGTCAAGAACCCTAGTTAGTTCGTGCATGAACAAGTCTCGATATAAAAGTGGTACCAAAAGAGACATAATATAGGCACGCACGTACTAATGCTAGGCCTCAAGATTGTGTTTGCTTCCTTTGACCAGATGGTGGCACGGTCATATGACAAATGAATGAACAGCTGTTTAACTTTCTTGTCTGAAGCAGGTGGTAACCACATGCACGGCTGTTTATAATCTCTGTGACGACTGATGTAAGATGGAGAAGACGACAACGGGTTTGCATGGAGACCACCGCTTTTGACTTGTGCGCTCTGATGTGAGCATGCATGTGCTGCACATACACCTTGTTCTTCCTTGTCTTGAGGAAGAGTGTGGGTCATCATCCATGCCATGCTTAAGCAGTTGCGCACACTGTACTTCAATTCCTTCCTCGATCATGGATGCCTAATTGCATATAGTACCTAAGCTAAACCTAGCACTAATTAATCCGTTTTCCTGTACGTTGTACTCCTAGCAATTGATCAGTCCGTTAAGCAATTAGGCTACTTAATTATCATCTTTGACAAAATGCACTGTAGCACACGTGAAGTCAAGCTGACCGGCCGGTAACACGCCTTAAATAACCAGAGTACCGGTAATACAGTAGGGTAGGCATCACGCGGATTCATTGTGAGTTTTCTTTAGTTAATCAGATCGTACGAGCAGTTTGAACCGCTGGAATCCTAGGTTTGTAAAGCGACCGATCGATCGATGGCAAGAGAAGGAGAAAAAAAAAAGGTCGGTCAAAA